ACCAGAGGACCTCAGGGTCCGCGAGGGTTCGTATGGTAAAAGCAGATCTGAGAGATAAGAAGGCCCAAGACCATTAAGACATTTAAAAACCAATAAAAGAACTTTAAAATCGACCCGGCCTCTTCTCCATTAATTCCTGGTTTTCTGTGAGTTTGCGCTCTTTCCGTAACTAGTCGGCTTCAGTGCAGTCTTTATTTTTTATAAGCTGTTAAAGGTTGGAGTGTCTGTTCCTCAGCTCAGCAGGGACGAAGAGCGCCACCCCCAGGCTGTAAGCAATCTTAATGTGATTGGTTAACTGGGTCAAACTGGGTCTCGGCTCATCTCCGCCCCCTGTGGCCATATGAAGACCACTCTTCCCACTTCACCATGGCAACCGTCTCTTGTCCTCCAGTCAGCCCTGCAGAGAGGGAGAGAGAGCACCTACACCTGGAGGTGCAGCTTTATTTTGGTGGACCCAGTGTGCTCCACCTCCGCGGTGTGCGGTAGGGCTCCGTCAGCACTGATGTAAGAACAAGATAGAAATGTGTGATTTCAATTGTGAGGGAGAAATTAAAAATACTGAGGTGAAAGAGCAAAAACAGGTTGCAACATGAGCTCCTGCATCTCTGTCCAGTCTGTTCTTTGGTGTGTGAACTCAAGCTTCAATAATCAGTCTTTGCTGCAGCTCGTCTGATAAAATGACTGAGGTGGAGGAAACAGTGGTGCTGCGATGCTTGCTGCATGGACCAGAGACACTGAGAGTCCAGGTGAGACGTGCCAGTACCCACGGCACAGTCCCTTTCAACAGCAGGCTGCATGTTTGCTCATTCAGACTTGGGACAGACTGCAAAGGGTCTGCAAATACAGTCCCCATCAGAAGTTCACGACCACCTGAAAAATCACCAAAAACCATATTTGCATGGTTGGATCTTTGCGAGGTTCCAAAAACAAGGTTCAAAGGTGTTTTGTCTCACTCCCATTTCTTCTTGTTGCAGGTTGAAGCTCGACTTGGAACTTCGTTAAGATCCAAACATGCAAAATATGATTTTTGGTGGTCTTAAACTTTTGATCGTACATTCTGGGTGAAGGCGACAGTAAGCAGACCTCCATGCTGGATCGACCAGTGGCCCATGCTGTCTCACCTGAGAAGGGTTAATGAGGCCTTGCTGTGGAGCCGCTCGTGCTTCTGTGGACATTCAGTTTGGGGAAAGTGTCCACGCTGTTGTCTTGTGGATGTGGACGGCGTCTTTGTGGATTTTAACGACAGAGGAATGTTAGTCGTAGTCTAAGGAGCTCAGAAAGAAAAGCGTCTGGACTTCTTTAAGTTTCTTAAAGACGTTTCATCCGAGAAACTTCTTCAGTTCTAAGAGCGACTGGTAGAGAGTCCCAGATTTAACCCTGTGGGAGGGTCCCCAAGAGAGTCGTGGACCCCCTGTTGATCCTCTACCTAATCACGCGAGCTGATCGCTAACATCGGACACTCGTCTCTTATCTCTGGTTCTGTTCCATCTTCTCTTAAAACTCAACAATAACTCCCGTACAGGTAAAGAATGGTTCAGACCCTCCAATCTAAATCATTTCAGGCCAGTTTCAAATCTGCCTTCATGGCCAAAATTCTTTAAAAGATGGTGGCTGCACAGCTTCATGGACACCTCACTGGAAATAACTAACGAACAGTTTCACTCTGGCTCCTGTTCTTCTCACAGGAACAGCTCAGGTAAAAGTCCCCAATGATCTTCTGCTTGCAGCTGACTCTGGACTCATCTCCATGCTCATCCTTGACCTTGCAGCAGCATCTATTGGCATCAATGTCACAGCACTCGCCTGGTTTACCTCTTATCTGAATTGTTATTATTATAAGAGAGAGACCACATCAGAGAGCGCTATGGTTTCATCTGGATCTTGTCAGTGAGGTTGGTGGAGTTGATGCAGTGTTTTCCCCACGGTGGGTGCTGGGATGGTGGGAAGGTGTTTGGAAATGTTGTAAGTGGCTGAGTTTATGCTGCTAACAGAGGCTGTGTCCCGATTCAGGGTCTGCAGCCTTAAAGGCCGCATTTTAAGGCCGATTACGTCACAGCGACGCGACGAAGGCTGTCCCAATTCAAAGCTCAAAATGCGGCCCTCAAACGCGTCCTTCGTCTCCCTGCATTTTAAGGACGTGGCGGTGTAGACTTCGTTAATATGTGTGCACGCCATATAAACACTGGAAGGTGTGATGGAAAAACAACTTTAATAAAGAAACAATATTGAACAATGAGTATAATAAAGTAGTGACTGCAAAGTAAAGTGAATCGCCTGGTGGTGAGGTGTGGAGCTTGCCATGTGTGGCAAACCTCAGAAACAAAACTACACAGCAGAAAAACAAAGTTGTTTTACTTTGTCGATGTGCAGGGACGAAGCAGCGACAGGTGGGTTACAGGATTTCCAGTGACTGAATATTTTCACATTTTTGTCATCCATCAATTTTATCACCTATGTGCAAGTTGTCATGGAAACTGATGAGCAGCCACTGATCAATGATCTCTGATCAACGATGTCGCTTCAGTGCTGCTGCCCTAACGACAGCTCCAGGCGGCTTCGCGGCGTTCTCTCTGATTAAGTTTCAGCGTCATCGTGACGATCTCACGCCGTCATCGATCGCAGAGCCTCTTTGAACTCATCGGTCCTTCCAGCTGATGCAGCATTTACCTGCAGGACGGGTCTGACACAGCGAGCAGCGAACAGTCATCCATCAGTGCTGACGGTCTCCACTGAACACGAGCACAGTGATGCTTTTCTTCAGTGGCTCCGCCCACACACCGAAGCATGAGTTTCGAGCAGCTTTTGTGGCGATCGGCCGTGAGAGAGGCAGCGCTCCCTCCTCGGGTCCCTCACACTCTGAAACCTCAGCTGCATTTCAGCACTTTCACCTGTGCAGCCAGTCACCGCCCACTTTCAGACAGGCACCGATACAGCTGTGGTGCTCGGACACCTCGGCTGTGGTTTGGCTTTTGGAGTCTAGTAGAGACGCTTTATTAGAGACCAGTGAAAACCAGCACTCATCCTTTTAATGGTGGCAGCGCTGAGTCACACAGGTAATGTGTCACATGATCTTCTGCCATTTTTAGTAAAGGAATATGATTCAGTCAGCTACGAGGGCCTGGCTGAAACATGTAATGTGACCGGACTGTGGTGGTGTTTAACGTCAGAGACAAAACTGTGGATTTATCTCAGTGGGTGAGGTGCTGTGACGTGGATGAGAGCTTATCTGCGAGTGTGTTTGTGGGTTTCAGATGAAGAGCATCATCAGTGCGTGCCTTTGTCTTCTGGTCTGTGTTCGATGTCTACAGCAGGCGGCCGGCTCGTCTGCAGAGCGTCCAAAACTCTGCAGTCACACCGCTGACTCGCTCAAACAGAGGAGCTCAGTAAGTCCTGTCATCAGCCGCTACGCTGGCTGCCGACCGTCTGTGTGGGTGTGAAGTGGTCAGACTCAGCGTCCAGGAGGGCGGTAGGGAAGCAGACATTTCAGGTTTACAGTGGACCCTATCATACGTGAAACTCAACAAAACTTCCACCCAAGGCAACAAAACTCAAAAGGATTTGGTGACACAGCTCACCTCTGCTCTCTCACCTGACTCTGGCAGAGACTGACTGTATACAGGGCCAATTAATCTCACTTCAATTAGTCCGGCAAGCTGAGGGACCTAAACCTCTACACAGATGACTGAAAATGGCAAAAACCTCCTCACACATTTACACAAACGGCTCTATTTATGAAAAAAGAGACCTTGAAACAAACAAAAGGAAGGATGTCTGTGGTAGAAGAAACCCCTCCTCTTGATGCCACGTCTGACATCAGCAGCACTTTGAAATGAGGCCTCTCCTCACACCTGACCCTCATGAAGACTGAAAGAAAGAACAAAGTATAAACAAATCTGTAACAAAGAAACAGCAGCGACAGACTGCTCACACAAACAAACCCGGGACAGTTACTGTGATGAATCACAGCAAACACAGAGACAGAGGGCTGTGCAAAAGCAAGTGGGCACACCTGGGACGAGTGGAGAGCATCCACAGGGTTTGAACACTTCTGTTTGGACTGCTTCATACCTGAATGAAGGCTGGGACCACTCGCTCACAGGAACGTTTCATTCATGCAATTCATTCTTTTTCATTTTAAGTTTCTAACTTGATGTTCGAGTAATGATCTATCATACGTATCAGCTACAGTAAAGGTTGTACTGCACGTGCAGTCAGCAATGCATTTCACATCGTTCCATAATCGTACATACGTAACCGTTTCTGCTAAGCAAGAAGCGACTTCCAGCTCTACGTGCATCATGTCTGCCTGCTGCTTGTGTCTGTTCCACCCTGCTGTGATCCTGGGCTGTGTTATGGGATGTTGTCTGCAGCTGATAAAGCCTGTGTGTGTGATTGTTGATGTTCATGCACAGGCTGCTGCACCCGAGGCCTCGCTGTTTCAGGCGCTGCTCGGTGTGGGCGTTTCTGTGGTCGATGCCAGCGTGGGCATGCTCCTGCACAGCTCCCTGCTCACAGTTTCTCTTTTTCACAAAGCGCCATCGTGCCGACAGTTACAGACGAGGCTTGTTCACATGGGCAGAGGTGGGGCTGTATGCGGCCTCTCACCGACAACACGAAGGCAAAGACAGGACAGAAATAGGTTGTCGGTGCGAGTCCGCAGCCTCGGGCTGTTGCTGTGAAACGTTCACTTTCTGTCCCACCCGGAGCCTCAGGCTGCTTGTTGTGGCACACCTGGAATACAGGTAAACTGTTTCTATCACACAATCAAAGGGCCTCAGGGAGCAGCACTGCGTGATGCATGATCAAGTGTAGATTGCAGCTGCAACAGTGTACCTGTGTTCCAGGTGAGCCAGCACTGAGCAGCCTCAGCTGTGATTGGACACCACACACAGAAAAGTGACCTGCACTGAAAAACAGGGAAATATCAGATATTCAAATATGAAACTGGCTCTTGGACCGCTTTCTTGAGAATTTGGAAATGTCCCAAACAATCTTTCAAAAGCTCTTCCAGAGAACTGAATAACGAGTTTCCAAGGAAGTCATCTGGAACAAAACCTGGCACGGAGAATCTGCGGGGATATAAAAGCCGACGGCGCCACGCAGCAGCTGTTTGCAGCTCTCGGCAGACTGAAGCGTTCATCGGAGGAGGACGGGACTCCCTGCTGTAAGTCTCCCTTCTGCTTTGTGTTGCTTTGTGTCGTTGACAGCTTCCAGCCGTGTCCGAGGTTTCTGAGTGATCCTCAGCTCGGACTCTGACTGCTGAGCGACGCTTCAGGAGCGTCCTGTCAAATGTTAATCCTGGAAAGGTTTCTTGAAGACTTGAGGCGACGTGATTTGATAGATTTGGTATTTTCTCAGCTTTAAACTGCAGTCGTTTCTTTCCTAACATTTACCTTCATCTCTGGAAACTTTCATCTTCTTCCACTATTTCTGTGACCCAACAAAAGTCCAACCAGCAAAAAACTTCCAGCGTCAGAGTCACAAAGCTTCCAGCCGCCGTTAGCAGCCGTCAACACCTGATGGGGTACCGCTGTGCCCCGCGGGCGGACAGGCCGGGCGCAGTCGAGAACAACAGCTTCGAGAACAGCACGGGTGTGTCAGCTAAAAGGAACCTGTGAATGCAATAGCTCGATAACATGTAGAGTTTTGAACTCATACCACTAGCGTGTCTGCTGGGAGGCGGCGGGCAGCGGTGCCCACCCCCGGCGTGTTTTCTCCCACCCAGCCTGAGAGGGCTCCTTTGGCCTCTCCAGTAAAGATCATATATCAAGGTGAGAAGCAGATGTCAGGTCACATGTGTGTGCTGCTGGCTTCAAACACGTCGGCAGCTGAAACGTAAGCGAGTCGTCTCGTGGCGCCATCTTGCTGTACCGCAACGGCGCCGTGGAGCTGGTTATGGTAGGGTGACCATTGATTTCCAATAAAGAAAACACTTGGCCCAGTCCTGAAGAACTTTAATAATACTGCTGGCTTAAAGAAAACTTTAACATATTGAAACATTCCTTCTCTGTGCGGTTAATGAATGGCGAAATAAAAAGTGTCATATAGTCAGCGAGTGCAAAAAAGAGGACGGTTGGTCACCCTAGTTCATGGGGACATCGCTCGGGTAACATGTGGAAATGCCTCTGAAGGATGCAGCGCCATGATCACGTGATCACATGTGTGCGTTTGACCCTGCGATGAAACAGAGCGCATGCGTGTGAGTGTGCAGCACTGACTTTTCATCGCCACTTCACGGTAACATACTGGCGTCGCTGTGTTACGGTAGCTCACCGTTCTGCAGGATGACACCGTGTTTGCTGGTGTGGTAGCACTATGGTAACGCACCGTAGCCTTTTTTACGGTATCTCACTGGCGACAGTGACGTTATGTTGTAAATTACGTCAACAAAGTAACGTCATACTGTGATTAATAAATTGGTATACTACCGTTTATTCACGGCATGTCACTGTAAGCCCGCTGCAAGGCAATAAACTGCAATATATTAACCAGTAACTCACCGTGTTTTATGCAGCATACCCACATCCACGAACTTGACAGCCGAGGTCACCAGTGAACTTATAAAACTCCTCCTCAGTGGTCTTCTTGTTCCTAGGCATGTGAATGAAGGCAGAAAATGTCCTGAAAGTGGCAGGGCAGTTCTCAGTTCCACAGGAAAGCCTATAGTGAGCTAATGTTTGTGGCTTTTAACATGCAAACTGAACAATATAAATTTGCGTGCACTGAAGCCACAAAATTTAGAAATACACACAGTTGCAGAAAGTTCAGTGACCAATTACCGTTCCTAAATGACATGTGCAAAAAATAAGAGTATTGTCAATAGGGACCAATTCCCAGTTTTTACATGATCAAAATTATTCACAAAAGGCTTCAATAAAGAGAAAATGTGTGCCGACAAGAGAACAGTGCACACACATGATTTGAGCTCGACGCTTTAATGGGTTTAACATGACTTAGTCAGCACTCCGCTCCGTACAGGTAGTACAAGCACACCTGAAAACACTGACCAGCTAACAGCTTTAAGCATTTGGGCGCAACCTCGGTAGTTCACCGCTTCACCTGTCGCAAACGTCCAAGTTTCTATCAAGTCTCATAAATCCATCGGCAACTATTACTAACCAGTCTTTGAGTCTCCACATTCATAGCTATTGACATTTTGTCTTTGAATGAAAATATCCTGGTAGCTTAAAAGTCAAAACAAACAGTACTAAGAACGCATTTCGGACTTCTCTCGAATAAGTGAATAAAACACTTACCTTCAGACTGATTAGCTGGTTCCGATCCAACTTTAATGTGTCCCATGTCAGTCCGTTTTAGGGAAGAAGTGTTAAGTGGTTTCATTTAATTTTGAGATACTCCCGCACGGACAAGCAATTTGGAGTCTAGCAGAGTTACCACGAATAGCATACGATCTTCAGATATAATCCGATCAACCTTGCATTTAACCCGATTGAACATCCAGTTACCTCTGACTACTTCTAAGTTGCACATGTTAACGGTCTCATCATCACTCTGTGCTGCAGCGAACTGTATCTGTGGCACAGAATAGTTGATGGCCATGTTGTTCTCCTGCTTTGCAGCTTTGTTTGAGTCTGAATCGCGTCTTAAACGTGCAAAACTAAGAGAAGCAGATCGATATTTTCTTCTTCTTGTTATTTAATGGTGGTTGGCAACCAGCGAAAGGAGCATTAACCACCTCGATTTTCTATCCTCATTGTTGTTTAGAAAGTGAATACCCGACGTGTGCGTCATACGTCACGTTGTACGTCAGGTGAAGGTGTGGTGTCGGCTATCGCACCTGTCGCATTACAAAGCTTTAAAAACACAACCCAACGCGCTAAACACGAACAAACATAAACACCCGTGTTACATTATCACGTATATCAGGACATCTCTCCTGAACCAAGACGCAGTGGTGCTACAAAGGAATTATTGCTTTAGGAGAGCATTTAATAGCAGTCTGGCCTGCAGCAAAATGCACCGCTAAAAATACAGTTTCTGATGTCCCAGAATTTATTAATTCTGAGAGTGAAGTTGTAGGACTGATGCTGGTTAGTGGTGCAGGTTTCATGGATGTGACACCTTGTGTAAAATGACAACCAGAGCATATGATTAGGTCAGTTCACTGTAGTTAGGCAGAGGTGTCTTAAAAAGTACCACCTTATACAAAACAAATGAAGGTCCAGTATAAGAAAGAATAAGAAGAGAAAAAAGCAACATCCTGCTAAATGAAGTCATGTTTAAACATTACTCTAAATGTAGCCATTAGTCTTTGTTGCTGGCCATACAAAAACAAGCATACTTCAATTATATTTCCCAACCTAGTACATATACTAATAATGCTTCTGGGGACTTTATTGGTCCCCGTTTTAGTACACAACAGTATTCTTGAAATTAACTTTGAGATGTACTTTTTGCTCACGATAAATGTACTAGCATAATGTCATAATGTCTACAAGAGTATAATTAAAATATACTCGACTATCACAATACTAACCTTACAAGTATACTATTAATTTACTTTTTAGTTTACACTTGAGTTACTTCTGATTGAAAAACAGTAATTAAAATGCAATTGAAACATATTTTTCACATGTAACAAATCTCTTCATTCCCCAGATATCAGATATCAGTTCTAACTATCAGAAGGCTTCATTTATAAAGAACTGCTCCCATAGTTCAAGCACCAGAATCATATAGTGAACAGGTGAGAAAGTGTTTTGAGAGTTGAGGTTTATTAACTATTGACCCTTTTCACTCACGGTTTGCACAATTTAATTTTTTAAATTAATGATTTGCCCCACTTACTCTGTTCAAAAGGTAAAAGATGCTGATGCTTAAATGTAATTTGGTCTAAAAAAGGAAGAAAATACATACAAAGTAAACTAAAGGTATACTTGCTTGTTTTCTAGTTTTTAAAGTATACTTGAATATTCTTTTTGGTAAGAGTGAGACTGGCTGTTTGATACAAAGTGGGCTGTAATAATGTTTCACATTGTTTGAATAAACAAATACATTTATTAATATATGAGGTTCCATTCAGTTCAAGGAATTAAATTTTACTGTGGCTGCAACTTACTCCTTAAGTTAAAAATGATGCTGTATATTGTAGTTTATATGTTATACTCTCACAGTGAATCACATTTTATAGTAACACACTCTGAATGAGGATTTAAGTGATTACTCTACAGTGTAATCGCACACGTGCAGGCTGAAAGCGCATCAGGCTGAATGAACCTGCCGTTCAAACCCGGGAGGCGGAGCTACTTTCACCTGAGATCATCTCTGTGGCAGAACTTTCATTTACAGACAGGACTAACAAGGCTGAACCTACAACACTACAGCTGTCATTACACTAACATTTTTATTTCATAGAGAAAATGTCATGGTCCTGGGTCGGTGATCCAGCGCTTTTAGTTTGTTATCATTTTCTAGATGATTGTTTA